ATGCTATGGACAGCATCCCCAGCCAGGTTCTGGGGCAAATGCCTTCTCTAGCTCTTACCCAGAACATCAGAGACGGGAGTGAAAACACAGACACTTGAAACTTAGCCTTGCCACTAGGATAATCACAAGTAATTAAGTTATTTTCTGGGAGCCCGTTTCTCATACTTTTTTCTCTTAAATAATTATATATGTTATTTTTTTTTTCACATGAGTTTTTGCCAGAGAAAGACAGAGAGAAAAAGAGACAGAAAGCCACCAGGTCCAGGACTCAAACCGCAGTCAGCCGTGTGAGAATTCCAACACCCTAATCACCGTGCCACCTGCTGGCCCCTTTCATAATACTTTTTAAAGAACTAAATGTAAAAGACCAGCAAGTGGCACAGCAGTTAAGGATTTGGACTCGCATGTGGCCAACCACAGTTCAAGTCCTGGACCTGGCAGCTTAAAAATCATGCCAGGCATGTATGCCCAAAATCCTGAGAGAAGAATGGAGAAGGTTTTAATATGTTTCTGCCATAGGGCACATGTGTGAAGAGGTAAAGAGAAGGAAAGTGAGAAATCGCCCAGCAAGGGGGATGGCCGTGCCACAATCCCTTCTCCTACATTCTCCTCCTGGGATTTTGGGTGGGCAAGCACACACATGGACCTGCCATGATTTTCAAGCCAACGATCCAGGACTTTAACCATGGCCAGCCATGTGAGAATCCATCACCTTACCCACCACTCTACCTGCTGGCTCAAGAACATATTTTTTTCAAGTTTTCTAGAGAGCGGGACCAGCAGTTAGCATAATGGCTATGTCGCTGGACTCCGTCGTAGTCGACCACAGTTTGCGTCCTGGACCCGGTGGCTTAAAACTCACGCCGGGCACGTGTGCGTGCATGCCCAAGATCCCGAGAGGAGAATGGAGGAGAAGGGATCACCCTGGGAGGTGATTTCTCGCTTTCTGTCTCTCTGTCTGTCTGGCGAGCGCACGTGCCCTATAGCAAAAACCTCTCCAAAAAAAAAAAAAAAGTTTTCTAGAGAGCACATGCACTCACTAGAGAGAGACAGAGAGACACAGTCAGCCACATGGGATCCACTCACCTTACCCTCCATGCCATCTGCTGGTTCAATAATTTTTCATAAAAACACACGTATTGAACATCTTTCATGCATCGGGCAGAAATAGAGGACCCTGTGTTTCTCTTCTGCATTAGAAACCTACCTGCACAAGTGCATAAAAGATTTTCAGAATCTGTTTCTGCAGTAATACAGAATAATGGGAGGAATCGGGAAGGAGCTGCATGATTTGTTGCTGAATACGAGGCAGAAATATCTGCATTGCTGCTATCAAAGGTTCTCTTTCTTCTGCTTTCTTATATCTATAGAAGGAAAGACAAAAACAAAAGTAATTTATCCTTCCAAAAGAGCTATTAATAATGGAGAAAAAATGTTAGGACTGTAAAACTAACAAAACAAAAACATTCAAAACACTGGCTTTCATTTTCTGATTGTATGCTAGAATAAAGTTGAAGAAATTTCACAAGAGCACATCCCTGTTTAAAGAAGTATATCTAAAATCTTTCCAGAAAGAGCTGAGTTTTTAAAAATTCAAAATTGTTTTGCAGCTTTCCTGTATGAATTCTTTTTAGTATTTAATTTTTATCAAACCACAACTCTTCCTATAAAACACAAGTCACTATCCTAGTGTAAACAGAAATTCACATTATGTAAAAAGTAATGTGTGGGAAGAGAACAAACATTTCTTCGTATGATATCCTAAATTGAGAAGTCAAAATAGCTAACAAATTTAGGTGCTCTTAGGTCACTTCAGATGCTATAAATCTAAAGTAGTCTCTAGAAATTCTATAACTAGAGTATGAACTCACCAGTTTAAAAGAGAAAAAAATATAGGACTTTATGTGTTTAAGTACTAATTCTCTTAGAAACCAGAAGCAATACAATTAAATGTGATTACTAGTACTCTACCTCTCAAGCAACTTGGATGGAATGTTAACATTGTCTATCTTGCATCCAAAAAAGTAAATGTTTTCGTTTAGTAATAAGCTCACTAGAAGACGCATGTTGAGGTAACTCTATAGCAGAGATCCCAAGGTGAGCTGGTCACAAACGGTCCTCTGAAACTAACATGTTTGAGAAGCACTATCAGATGAAAGTTTGAATAACTTCAGTAATAACCGTCTTTACCTGTGTTTATCAAACATTTTCCCCATCCTGACTCTGCAGAACACCCACAGCTGACCCGTCTATGCACCCTTTCTCTAAGTCACACAAGGCTGCTCGCTTCAGCCAGTGGCAATAAACTTACTCGTACGTCTTCACCAGCTGATACAGACATAATAAACTGCCGAGCCAGCTTCCGCTGCTCTGTGACTGCAAGTAATAGTCTATCTTGTCAACCACTGCGGGCCAGTGACCAGGAAAATCATGTTTAATGATGACGCGGAGACACATCGTTAACTGGACTCTGTAAGGAAGAGGGGAAAAATCCAAAATCTAAGTATTACAACGTCTTTCAAAGGTATCAAATATGTTATATAAAAGTACACTTTTATTCATCTATATTGTATAGTTATAGATGTGAAGTCAGGAGAAAAAGTAGTCCCACTAAAAAATAAAGTGAAACTACTGGGGCTGGCGGGTGGCATGGTGGTGAACGGCACTGGGTTTCCACGTGGTCGACTGTAGTTCAAGTCTTGGACCTGGTGGCTTGTTTTCTCACTTTCCCTTTCTGTCTCTCTCTGGTCAAATTCAAAAAAAATAACAATATAATGGAATTGAATATATAAATGATTCTTCTTAAAAATCCACTTAAAAAATAAAACTACTCATGGTTCCACTTATTAAAAATAAACAAAATGGGGCCAGCCTGTGACATGGTTGAAGAGCTGAATCCCACATGGCCCAGGAGACACAGTAACCTCAGAAATGGCACGTGTGTGTGCCCAAGTCCTAAAAGGAGGGGGACATGGAAGAGAAGGGATTGCAGCATGACCATTTCCCATGAAATCTCATTCCCCTCTCTTTCTCTCTCCAGCAAGTACATATATGCCTTCTGGCAAATTTTTTTAAAATAGGGGCTTGCAGGTGGTGTGGTGGTTAAAGGCACCGGACTCCCACATGACCAACCGCTGTTTGAGTCCCGGACCTGGCAGCTTGCTTTCTCTTTTTCTTTCTCTCTCTCTCGCTCTCGCTCTGTCCCTCTCTGCTCAAATTAAAACAGAAAATTTTTTTTTAATTTTTTTAAATAGAATGGGAGGGCTGGCAGGGGGCATGGTGATTGAGGCATTAGACTCCCACATGGCTGACCATGGTTTGAGTCCCAGACCTGGCAGATTGTTTTCTTACTCTCTCTATGTCTCTCTCTAGTCAAATTAAAATAAATTGATAAATAAGTGAAATTAAATAATTATTTTTAAATTAAAAATATGTAAATGGATGATTTCCTAAAATGAAAAAAAATATTTTAAATGGTCTTATCCTAAAGACAGCTTTTTTAAAAATGAATTTTAAAATAAACTCACAAAAAAATTCAAAAAAGATAATGAATCGGGTGGTGAAGGTGCTGGATCCCACATGGTCAACCGTGCAGTTTAAGTCCCAGACCTGCTGCTGACTTGGAAAACATACCAGGCATGAGTGCATGTGAACCCAAAATCCTAATTGTGGGGCGGTCATCACCCCGCGATGGGGGTGATTTCTCTCTCTCTCCCTCTCCCTCCAGCAAGTGCATGTTCCTGATAACAAAAAACTAAAACAAAACAAAAAAGATGATCAATCTACCTCAGCTCTGTAAAACTTTCCAGCTTGTTATATTTTTTAAGTTTATTTTATTTGTTTTTTTTTTTAACATTGCAATCGGGTATGTGTACTCACCAAATAGAGACAGAGAATGCGAGAGAGAAAGAGAGAGAAAGTGAGAAAGCAAGCCACCAGGTCTGGAACTCAAACCATGGTCAGTCACATGGGACTCCAGCACCTTAACTACCACGCCACTTGCTAGCCCAGCCTGTTACAGTTTATATTTTGGTTATCATATGGTAGGGAAGGGGGGATAAAATATGCTTAGCCTACAGATGGCAAAAGTAAGTAAAACAGAAGGAAGGAAGTAAAACAAAAGCTTATATAACTGTGGAAAATCTCTCTGTAGGCCAAAACCTTGAACCCAACCATCACTAGTTGATAGCAACATAATATAACATACCTCTCAAAGCAATCTGAAATACCAATTTCTGTACTTGGAGTACAAGAAAGAAACTTGCATTACCTAGTCAATTCTGTGGGAAGCTGCACACCAGCGAGTCTGCTGAGGTTTCTCAGAGAGCAAACAATTACCATGATTGGTTCCCTTCCAAAAACCTGACCTTCGAAACCTTGCTCTGATTGGCCACTAGAATCCCTCAAATTTGCATATCTGGCACCTCATGATTGGTCCAAAAGCAACCAATCATAACCCACCGTTAACAACCAATCATGGTCCACCGTTTACAACCAATCACGGCCCACCGTTTACAACCCACCAGAGTGTATATAACCACGATGCCTGGCCCACAGTAGCCAGACGACACAGACG